ACCATTTACAGGTCACACTAACACACGAGGGTAAGGGAACCATATATACTGGAGAGGGGGACAAGGACGTTACAAAAATAGAACGAAGCAACTAGAGGAGTAGCGGTAGAGGTAATGCTGATAGTGGACACACTGTACAAGTGAGAGATGAACATTGTACAAGTGATAAGAGGATCGAGAAATTGAAATAACGGATTCACGTTGGATAAATTCAGATTTTTAAAATGGGTATAAGAGAGAACTGGTTAGGTAGTAGAGCTGGAGATGAGTAAAACAAAAGGCCGAGTAGTGTCAGTGTCGCGGATTCCTCATGTAACTTGATGGAAAAATCCTGTACGAGAGTGGGAATGGTTGTATGTGATTGAGAACCTCCTAGCATGGGGCCAGTAGCCTTACTGCAGCGCCGCTTCATTTGTTCGTTCTTGTAAGGGTAAAGACATCCATACACATCTCTAAGAACAATGTTATAAGGAAACATTTCGCCCGCTAAGGGGTCTGTCAGTACTATAATCGGATCGACGGAATTTGAATAAATGGATTAGAAAAGCCGACAAGTTGATAAATGACTCATTTGTGCAACATTTCGCCGGCTAGTGTCTCAGGATGACAGAGCCTCTAGTGGAGAGAAACGTTCCCTTAACAGAATCTCCTAGAATTACACACAAGTCTTCAGTGTACAGCCTATCGGTAGTGACGTACTTAGTGAGAGTTCAGTGCTGGCAGGTACTAGCAGTAGTTGGCTCCTCTCCCTTCCTGAATAAACGTATGAGAAAATTCTCCTCTCCCCCATAAAACTTTATAATTTAGAAATACAACTTTTCATAACATAAGTATAAATATTTTCATTCATACTCGCTACCTGGACTAACATACTCAAGACTTAACTATCATACTTAGCCATATTCCCTCACAGGATAATATACAATGAGAGGTGTATTTCTCTCAGCACCTAAAGAGTAGGTTTCACCAGTCGAGTACAAAAGCGACTGAAATGGAGAGAGGAGAAACAGTGAAGCAAAGATGGTGTCATCAGTCCATCAACCTTGATGTAGTATTGAGGTTCTTGAGGTGGTCAGTCACTCAACCTTGATGTAGTATTGAGGTTCTTGAGGTGGTCAGTCACTCAACCTTGATGTAGTATTGAGGTTCTTGAGGTGGTCAGTCACTCAACCTTGATGTAGTATTGAGGTTCTTGAGGTGGTCAGTCACTGCAAGATTGACTGATTATATGATCTATACCTGTCCACTTCTGCTTTCGACTAACGAAGTCTGTGTGAGCGAAACGTTTCGGAAATAAAGATACCTAACTGTTGCCCATGTATCTGTAGTTAAATATCACCTGGTGGTAAGAAAGTTACATGAAGATTTACTAACCCTCGGGTAGTCGACAGGCTTGAAACTCCGTCACCCAACCATATCCACCCCCCCTAAAAAAAATGAGCAAATTGTACGGTAAAATGAAAAAATGAATGAAAATAATAGAATTTAAGGCATTTTTTCCCATTACGATAGATGTATCGCCTGTCTCGTTCCGCCAGCGAAGCCTTTTATCAGCCACTGTTACCTGGTGTTGCTGGCACGATGACAAACATGTTAATGAAGTTATTGGTGGTGGTGGTGGTGGTGCTGGTGCTGCTGCTGCTGGTACTGCTGCTGCTGCTGGTACTGCTGCTGCTGCTGCTGCTGCTGGTACTGCTGCTGCTGCTGCTGCTGCTGCTGGTACTGCTGCTGGTGCTGCTGCTGACTGCTGCTGCTGGTACTGCTGCTGGGTGCTGCTGCTGCTGCTGCTGGTACTGCTGCTGCTCTGCTGCTGTGCTACTGCTGCTGCTGCTGCTGTACTGCTGTGCTGACTGCTGCTGGTACTGCTGCTTGCTGCTGGTACTGCTACTGCTATGCTGTGCTACTACTGCTGCTGGTACTGCTGCTGCTGCTTTGTACTGCTGCTACTGCTGCTGTTGCTGCTGCTGCTGCTGCTGGTACTGCTGCTGCTGCTGCTGCTGCTGCTGCTGCTGCTGCTACTACTACTGCTGCTGCTGCTGCTGCTGCTGCTGCTGTGCGCTGCTACTACTCTGGCTGCTGCTGCTGGTACTGCTGCTGCTGCTATGCTGCTGCCCCGCTGCTGCGCTGTACTGCTGCTGCTGAACTGCTGCCTGCTGTTACTGCTGCTGGAACTGCTGCTACTGCTACTGTTTGTGGGAAGTGGTGGTGCCAGTGTTTGTAGCTGTAATCCATTTTCTTTAACGCATTCACTGCATGGCGATTCAAAGAAGGAATCACATTTACCATCACTCATTCCATGGTTCTCTTTTCAGAAGGCCACGTACATTGTAATCCCAGTGATCACCGACTCGCAAAATCCCCCACCTTTTCTTCACAGTACAAATCCTGCACTTCCCACCTCTGTTGTTTATCTTTGGCTAACATATCTTCGTAATTCCCTTCATTTAATGTACATGGCTCTCACTCTAACAGCACTTGAAATCCTAAGAACCGTTTGTCTCAAATCTCATGTAATATATTTCCACATCCTCATGGATACTCAAAGTATTTGAGAAACAGCTTTAAAAATTTATGGGACATCCAAGTTCATTTCATTTCGGTCTTTTAGTACAATATCCTCACACATTCAATCAACCCAGCTTCAAATTTTTTTTCATGTTTTTAAATAGATGCGAGGGTAGCAACATGTCCTTGGCATCTAAGTTATCGACGACACGCATGGCTTGAAGTGGCAACCCGCTTCACCAAGGGTGGGTTTCCAGTTTGAGATTTCTAACCCACTTCAACATGGCCTTTTCCAGTGTGATATTTCTAACCCACTTCACAGGGTGGCTTTCCGGTTTAGATTTCTAACCCCTACACCAAGGGTGGCTTTCCAGGTGGAATTTCTAAACCACTACACCAAGGGTGGGTTTTGTGGATTTCTAACCCATTCAAATGGGTGGCTTTCCAGGGATTTTTAAACCCAATACACAAGGGTGGGTTTTCAGGTGAGATTTAACCCATTTTCCCAAGGGGGGTTTCCCGGTGAATTTATCCATACACCAAAGGGTGGCTTTCCGTGGGATTTTAACCACTACACCAAGGGTGGCTTTCCCGGGGGTTGTTTCTACCCTACACCGGGGGGCTTTCCAGGGTGGGATTTTAACCCATACACCCAAGGGTGCTTCCAGGGTGGATTTATAACCCACTACACCAAAGGTGGGGGTTTCCGGGGGGGATTTATAAACCCCTCACCAAGGTGGCTTTCAGGGGGGATTTTTAACCATACACAAAGGGGGGGGTTTCCGGGGGGGGATTTTAACCCAATACACCAGGGGGCTTTCCAGGGGGTTTTAACCCACTACACCAAGGGGGGTTTTCCGGGTGGATTTTAACCCACACACCAAGGGTGGCTTTCCAGGGGGGGGATTTATAACCCACTTTAAACCCAAAGGGGGGCTTTCCGGGGGATTTATAACCCACTACACCAAGGGTGGTTTTCCCGGGGGGGATTTAAACCCATACACCAAGGGGGCTTTTCCGTGAGAATTTCTAACCCACTACACCAAGGGGCTTCCAGGGTTGATTTCTAACCCCCTACACCAATTTTCTTTCCAGGTTTTGGATTTTAACCCACTACACAAGGGTGGCTTTCCCGGGGGGATTTTAACCACTACACCAAGGGGGTTTCCAGGGTGGGATTTTAACCCCTACCCAAAGGGGGTTTCCCGGGTGGTTTTAACCCCTACACAAGGGGGCTTTTCAGGGTGGATTTCTAACCCCCTACACCAAAGGGGGCTTTCCAGGGTGAATTTCTAACCCATACCAAGGGTGGGTTTCCAGGGTGGATTTTAACCACTACACAAAGGGGGGCTTTCCGGGGGGATTTCAACCCATAACCCAAGGGGGGGTTTTCAGGGTGGGTTTTTACCACTACACCAAAGGGGGGGCTTTTAAAAATGGATTTCTAACCCCCACCCAGGGGGGGCTTTCCCGGGGGAGATTTTAACCACTACACCAAAGGGGGGCTTTTAGGGTGGATTTTAACCCACTACACCAAGGGGGTTTTCCGGGTGGATTTTAAAAACCCCTACACCCAAGGGTGGCTTTTCAAGGGGAGATTTTAACCCACTAAAAGGGTGGCTTTCCAGGGGGAGATTTTAACCCCCTCCCAAGGGTGGCTTTTTCCCGGGTGGGATTTTAAACCCCCTACCCAAGGGTGGCTTTCCCGGGGGAGATTTCTAACCCCCTACACCGGGGGGTTTCCGGGTGGTTTTTAAAACCCATCACCAAAGGGGGGCTTTCAGGGTAGATTTATAACCCCTACCCAAGGGGGCTTTTTTCCAGGGTGGATTTTAAACCCCCTGCCCAAGGGTGTCTTTCCGGGGGAGATTTATAACCCACTACACCCGGGTGGCTTTTTAGGGTGGGATTTAACCCCCCTACACCAGGGGGGGCTTTCCAGGGGGGGATTCTAACCCAACACCCAAGGGACACGCAGGGGTTTTTCAAATTAAGAAACATGAAATGAAAAGAGATAAGCGAAAAGTGAAGCAAATCTTACCAACTTCTACGTTCAAGAGAGAAAATGAAGATTAAGACACATGTGCAACAGTTGAGTATTTTTATTGATGAAACATTTCGCCTACACAGTAGACTTCTTCAGTCAAATACAAAGAGAGTAGTAGTAGTAGTAATGAAATCAAGATGTAATCAGTCCATCAACCTTGGAGAAAAAGTATTTGAGGTGGTCAGCCCCTCAGCCTGGAGAAGAATTCAGCAAGAGAGAAAATAAAGACGTCAGTTATCCTAAGAGAGTCCACAACCTTTAACAACCTTACATTTTACACTTATATAAGAGAACGGTTGTGCACCGTTCTTTGATTGCTACCATAATTATAATATCAATGATAATAACAGTAGTAATAACAGTAATAATAATAATAACAGTAACAGTAACCACAGTAATAAAAATAACGATAATCAGCATAATAATGCTACCAACATTAATATATTACCTTTGATAGTGAAAGGGTTGTGTCTGTAAGGGCCATTGTTGAGAGCGTAGACAGACTTGGCTTCAGTGAGGACATCAAGGAGTGCCATGCGTGGTGCCAGGTCTACCTGAGTCCGTGCTACCTCGTTCCTGGAGGCGTCAGCCACCAACAGCAGCGCTCGTGGCAGCCTGGACACGGGCAGGCCACGGGGCGACACTGCCGGAACCTGCACATACAAGATACATGAGGAGCTGGAAGACACATTGACTCCAATGTATCCCAGGCAGAAATAAAGGCATCTGTGAGAAATTTCACGAATAATATGCGAATTTCAGCTCAACCTAAAATTCAAAATACTGTAAATGTTACAGCAGACTATGGAAGTTCTCAGACCGTGGATTCCCAGTTTATATTAACATATTTCAAGGCACATCATATGCTTAACTCCGAATCCTAAATTAGCTTCAGGATCTCTATATAAAAGTGAGTTGAGCAATATTATCTTGAACATCCGAAGTCCTGACGGTAGAAAATGCGTTTGGCAACCACCACTCTGAAAGTAAGAAACTCTACCTTTCCATGTATATATATATGTATCTATTTGATGATTAATGTTAACACCAGTCGTCTCCCTACTCAGGGAGACGACTGGTGTTAAAATTAATAATCCACGTCCAGGACGCAAGTCCGTGTAATTGACTTTCCTGAATCCCTACATAAAAATTACTTTGCTCACACTCCAACAGCACGGCAAACCATAAACATCACGTGTCTCCACTTTGATCTATCACGCTCACACGTGCCTGATGGGTGCTCAAGCCCCTAGAACTAGAAAACTCTTTTAAACCCACCGTACAACCTTTCCTTGGACGAGCCTTATCCCTAACTCTACCCCTAGTTTATTCTATTCTATTCTATTCTGCTTCATTGTTCTAAAAGAAAA